TCAGAAATGCATGATCCAGACTATACACACATACAGAGCCCACCTCCTGCCACACACACACACACACACACACACACACACACACACACACGCGCGCAAATGAATCCAGAAATTTTGCAGGAAACAAAATCACCATAAAAAATCAGTTGCATATATATTATGCTATACACTAAGTAATTGAAAAGGAAACTAATAAAGCAATCCCATGTATAATAGTTTCCAAAAGAATAAAATACTTAGGGATGAATTTATCTAAGGAGGTGGAAAATTTGTAACTTAAAACAAAACCCTTGATAAAAGAAATTAAAATAGATACAAGAATGATAATATTGTTAAAATGTTCACACTATCAGAAATTATCCACAGATTCAATGAAATCTCTATTAAAATCCCAATGGTAGGAGTTTTGTTGTTGTTGTTGTTTGTTTGTTTTCGTTTTTATCAAACCAGGAGGGAAAATCCTAAAACTTACAAGAAACTACAAAAGATCCCAAATAGCTACAGATATTTTGTGCATGAAGAACAAAGCTGAAGGCATCACACTTCCTAATGTCAAAATATATTATAACTCAATAATGTGAAAATAGTGTGATATTAGCATAAAAATGAAATTAAAACCCTGTCTTGAACTACATACACACACAAAAAAACTGAACTCAAAATGGGTTAAAGATATAGAGCTAAGAGCTGGAACCATAAGACTTCTCAAAGAAAACATACAGGAAAATCATGACCTTGACTTCAGGAGTGATTACTTGGCTATGACACCAAAGGTACACAAAGCCAAAAGAGACAAACAGAACTACTACATCAAACACAAAAGGCTTCTGTAAAGCAGTCTACAGAATGAAAAGTCAACTACAGAAAGGGAGAAAATATTCACAAACCAGTTTTATTTTCAAACCATATACCCATAAAAAGTTCATATACAAAATACATATGAAATATACAAATCAGCAGTAAGCATTCTCTTATTCATTACTGGTGATATATAAAGTCACCTTAGCAGTTGCTTATGAAGGTAAATACATTCCTAACATGTGACCCAGCTCAACTCCTACGTATTCATTCAAAAGAAACTAGTGAGTCCAGCTATGTGGTCATTAAACTTGAAAAACCTTTGACAATCAGGAATAATTTGTATTATCCTCATACCAGCTTTTAAAATTAGGTGGTCTTTATCCTGGTCTCTCAGATCCTCATATTTCCTTCTACAGACACTTTAGAAGGAGAACTCACACTTAATTGAAATGAAGATGTCTAGGAACTTTGTCTTTGTCCCACATTGTATCTGGGAGTTCATCTTTTTAGTATAAATATATTTATTTATTTGACACTAAGGAATAGGGATTTTTATTCATTGGTCTCATAAATTCTGAGGCAAGACTTTCTAATTTTCAGCAGAAATGATTGATGCATGTTGTGGTCCAAAGGCCCAGCTAGCAAAAAGATGGAAAATGAGGCAACAGATGGAGTTCTTCTGGTGACCACTCTAACTCCCAAAAATTCTCTTTTGTGATTTGGATAATGCTTCAAATAAGACCATGTATTTCTTTGGTTTGTCTTGCATATACTTTTCCTTTATAAACTTATAAATAACAAAAAAATGCCAAAATCATATTTTTGAGTATTATATTACTTCATTAATTTTACCTCTAAATAATGACCATATTTCATAAATAATGGGTCCACAAAAGGATATAAAAGTTTCAAAAACTTCTTAAAATTGCATCAAATTCTTGGTACATATGCTAGAATTTGAATTGGAATAATATTTATATTTGACATTGTATTTTTAGTGCAGATTTTAAGACCCAAATAGATAAGAAATTTTGACTTGGAGTCATCGATGTTCACCGACAAGTAAGTGGACCCAGAAAATATTTAAAGAGTGAATACATTCAACAATATTTTCTGAAACCAGTAAGCTTATTTCTCCTTTTATGTAGCAGAAGGATATCTGTCCCCCATACTGTTGAAAATAATGGTAACAGTCAGAGGCAGCTTTTATCCTTGACACCTAAAACAATTTCAGTGTTGGCATTTGATCCTCTGAAATGCCACCCAAAACACAGATCCTCCTGGTGCTGATGAAAGTGTCACATAGCCTTGGATAAACAACCCCAAGAGATAGATTTCTAGGAAAATAAGAGCAACCAAGAGAGAGTCCACCACTACTAACTCCATTTACCTCTGGTCCGGAATGGCAGATATGCAAAAAGAAGTGTCACAGAGCATATGAAGCAAAACAGGAATTGAGCAGGTATTGAATTCAACATACAACAACATGGAGGTAGACCTCTAAGTAGACATTCAGGTACATGCTCTAGAAGAGAAAGAATTAAATTGACAAAGAGGAACATGGGAGTGTGGGACATCTCTAGCCTAAGGATAATTATCTAAAAAAAAAAAAAGAAAGAAAACAGAGTTATTGTCCCATGCCAACTCAATTTAAGGCTTAGTCTGCAAGTTTTGTTTGTGGATGGTGGCAAGTCCTAGTCAGACTAGATGTGCAGATCTTGCAGAGCTAAGAGGCATTTCTTTTTCTAATTGGTGCCACCTACTCCAGAAAAAAAATAATTTGGCTGGGGAGACTGGAAAGCAGTCCTAGGAATCTTCATCAGATTCCTAGAGATTCTGAAGTTTCAGGCTTAGACAGGGTAAATGTGCCAACACTGAGTTGGCTAAAACAAGGAATTGCCTGGGATCCATAGACTCAGTAACCAGAGAAAGCCTACTTCCTAAATAGTAAAGGAAACACCCTTTACACCTCTGAGCTTAAATACCCTGTCCAGAGACTCATTCTTACAAGCTAAACAGACATGGTGAAAATGTTTCCCATGTATTATTGGATATTTTCTCTGTGAAAACTTTTTGTGTGGGAGTGGGGTGGAAGAGGGTGCCAGAGATTGAATTAAGAGGTACTCAATAACTGAGCCACATTCCTAGCCCTATTTTGTATTTTATTTAGAGACAAGGTCTTAATGATTTGCTTAGTGCCCTCCTTTTTTTTTCTGAGGCTGGCTTTGAACTCTCCATCCTCCTGCCTCAGCCTCTGAGCCACCAGGATTACAGGCCTGTGCTATAGTGCCCCGCATCTATGAAACATTTGATCTTTGATTTATATCACCTTCCAGAAGAAAATGAAAAAATGTAAAGTTTAATTATCTGGAGAGTGTACAAGTACTTTCAGAGAATTCAAGTTTCTGAAATATCTTCCTCCCCAAAACACAGAGAACCTGCTTCCAAGACTCTTGCATTAGTTCATAGCTTCTTCACAGCACAGCTACTCTTTTCCAAAATTGGGAAAACACAGTAATGCAGACAGCTGATTAGAGACACTAAGAACTAGTGGTGACACCTAAAATATGGCAGGTCCCATGGACAGATCTGTGATCCCTGTTTGAAAGGTTGTCCAGTAGGAGCAGCTGGAGCTAAAGTGGATCAAGAGGGAAGAAGATTCTCAGGCCCTGAATGTGGATGTTCTACTAGTATCTGTGGGAAAAGGGAGATCCAGACCTAGTGGCTGAGAAACTTTTTTATTTAACTTTTGGATGTGAAAAGGAGACAGTGCCTCTCACCAATGATCATAAAGCATTTCTGGGTAGGTAATAAATCCTATGGCTGGACTCCACCTTGGCACTGAAAACACAAACCCAGATGGCCTTAAAACTCCTTAACTTAAAAACGGAAGTCACTGTTGAACAAATCCACCACCAACAGACCTGTTTCTGAGATGGGTGATTCTCCTGCAGAACACTCTCTGGGCTCAACTGTGGGGCTCAGCATTTAACTATGAGTAAAAGCTCAAGGCTTTTCCTGGAGCACCCAGCCTCTCACAAGAGGATGGTGCAGTCAGTATGTAGTGTAAGTGGACCATCAGGGACTGGGCTTTCCTCCTGCAGGCAGAGCCAGAGCCACCCTAGTACCATCACAGGTCCCACCAGCTGCAACTTAGAGATGTAGAAGTATGTAGTTCATGGGCAGAATTAGAATGTTTTGAGGTATGCTTTACAAAATAATGGGGTCTTTGACATTTCACATCACTCCATTTCTACTCTGAAAATTCTGGAATCATAGGACTTTCATGTAGATTCATTTGGGGAAAAGAAGCAACATCATTTTCTTTGTTTCTATGGCTTCTTTTTGTTTCATGCAATGGTTTGCTAGTGGCATTCAGAATGCAGATCCTTTTATCCACAATACAGTAGTTGCCTGATGAGTTTATCCCACTTTGTTTCAGTGTGCAGGACAGATTCTGCTGTGGCTGTGCAGAACTGTCAGGCTAGCAAAACATAGGACAGAAAAGACAGCCAGATATGTTAAAGCTGCACATACATTGCTGTCCTTCTTGTCATTTTTTTTGTTTTTTCTTTATGTTTTTGTTGCTTTTTATCTTTATTTCTCCCTGGTGTAATTTCCCACTCAATTAAAATAAGTCTCTCAAGTATTGTGTATACTTTAAAACATATTGTGTATACTTTAAAACAATAGAACTCTTACTTCTTCCTTTGGCAAATATAGGAACTGCTTCTTAAAAGAGGATAGTACTCCCTCAATTTTCAGTGTTTAATTTTTAATTATCTTTCTTGATTCTGGCTATAACATTGGGATCCTTCTGATTTCCTTTATCTCTTTTTCATCACGCATTCAATCTATTGGTAAGTGTTATTCCTTTAATATCCTATTTATGAGTTCAGAAGTAATTGTGAATCTGAAATTTCAAAAGACATCTATACCAGTCTCATCCCTAAAAGCATCCTTGTCTTGGGAAGTTAAGAGGTGTGAAGTTCAACATTTCTAAAGTGGGAAACAAGCCATAAATATCTTCCCATATGAGGCCCAACTTTGGAAGACAAACATTATTCACTTTTGCCTACATATGACTTATCCATCAAGTTAATGTCCTTAATAATTCCCCTCCCCCTTGTTGTATCAATTACCTTTTCTTATGAAATACCAAAGGCAAATATATGACAAAACCAAAGGGATTGTTATACACGTAAATAAAATTAAAAACATCTTTGTAAGGTGCTCCTTATCAAACAGGTCATCTGAAAGAAAGGACAGAACAACTTGAAATTTTATACATCCACAACAGGTGTCCCTAATGGATTAGAAAGTTCCTGCTAATAAAGCAGGATACTCCTTCAGGTCTATGCTTCTTTATTTTTGTATTTGTAGCATAACTAGATTTTGATAAAGCTTGTTTAGTGACAAGTAAAGAGCAAGTACAACATTAAGCTTACCTTAGGGATAGAATTCACACTGAGACTATAGTAGATTGAAAAGAAGTCTCTCTCATCTCTAATAAATGATCTTAGTACAAATGCTTAATGATCTTCAAAGGAACACCTAGTTCTGTTACTCTTTTCATGATCTTAGCCAGTTGCATCTTCAAAATATTCTTTTTAGGCTGAAGACATTCATATTATGTCCCAAACATGGTCTTCTCTGCAGAACTTTAGGTTCATGCACCAAAGTCCTGATCAACACTTTACTAGTAAGTCTTATAAGCATGGTCTTATTTCATTCCACAAAATTTCCTATCTCAGTAGATGAAAAATAATCTCTCATGACTCTGGTTATAATATTGGAATCCTTCTGATTTCCTTTATTTTTTTTCATCACACATTCAATCTATTGGTAACTCCCATCAGCTCTACATTTAAAATATTTATAGAATCTTACCAATCTTATAAACTTTCTTGCATACCACAAATCATTGTTATAGACTCCTATCTGGTCAGGACAATATTTTTTTCCAGTCCATAGGGTAATTATTTAAGAGTATTATAGAAGTTTTTAAGAGAAAAAAACTGTGTTTACAATCAGGTTAAAAAAAGATTCCATGAACTGGTATCTGAAGGCACATTTGCCCTGTCCACTACCTTGCTCCTATACTTCTCTATAGAGGCATTAGTTAAGGGTAACTTTATTGCACCCAGAGTATGGCCTTTGACATCCATCTAACATGACTCCAAAGAGTGAGCAATGTACAAATAATCAGGAAAACTGTAGTTTACTTCCACATTTCACTTACTACTGCTTTTACTGGCCTCTCAACATCTGTCTATCAATGACCATAACATTTATTGAATTGTCAGGATTTTTAAAATAACAGTACTAGTGCTAAATATTAAATGACAGTAAGAAAAAGTTTTTACTTCTGCTAATTATTTAAGATTTGCAAAAACTCATGAGGTATGATTAATTCATTTCTAAGATGAAAAAACTATAGTTCAGAAAGATCAAGTTACTGAGCTAGAATTCTGTTAAATTTACAAATAATTATTGTGAGAGTCTAACAAAGTAATGAACATTAAATGCCTTTAAAGCTGTAATGTATGTTTGGACTGTGAATTACTATTGTTCTTATTTATTTTTATTCTAAAGCCTTCTTTGTAGCACCCCAAAACCTATAACAAAGATAAAGAAACCCATAACAAAGATAAAGAGTCATTCAAAGGGAATTTAGTAAGCTCCTTAACATTAACTATCCCTTTAGTTTTCTCTTTTTGTTTTGTTGATAACTAAGCTCTAATGATGGAACACTCACGTGCTAGGATAATACTTGCTTGTTTCTCTTCACCTATTACAGGGTTGTGAACACAGCATGTAATATTGCAGTCTGACAGGTTTCTGAGGAGAAGAGTCATCTTCATGTGGAACAATCTGGCTCCATCCTGTGAGTAGGATTTTGATGAATGTGGAACGACCTCTCCCCTGCTGTTTCTCCACTCCATTTGGGGCTGTGGAAACCACCCTCCTGAGTTACACTCCACCACGAGTCCATCACTAGTAGGAACCTGGACACGAATCTGTGTCTCCAAGCCAAGTGCTGATGGAAATGAGAAAGAACCATCAGACAGTTATTGTATTGAGTTTGGAATGGCAAGTGGAAAAGAAGTCATGTGATCTGCAATTTAATATTTGTGTATCAAATTCACATTTTATTTATGTTAGTACTTGTAGTACTTGAAAAAAAATTAGAATATGAAAAGAAGAAATAAGACACATTGAGATAATTTTCCTCATATTTGAGCTTCTTGTGTCAAAAGGGCTTTGTTATACAATGTTCCACAAACACACTTACCTGCCACACTCAGATTCATGCTGGCTGCATCACTGAAGTCAGTATCCTTAAATGAACACCAGTATGCTCCATCATCAGAAATGCTGACATTATGAATTTTGAGGGTCATTTTACCCTCCCCCATGGCATCTTTCACAAACTCTGTACGATTTACATATTCAGGGGCAGCTTCTCCATTTACTTCATGACCGCCTCTGTATAGGTAAACAAGCTGGGAATTGTCACCCCTGAACCAGCGCACCTCCATGTGCTCTGCACTTTGTGGTGGGGACAACTGGCAGCTGAGAGCAGCCTGTCCTCCTACTCTAGCCACAAAGTGCCCCTTGGGAACAGTCACCATCAAATTCTCTGTGGAGGAAGAAAGAAAACCAAAATAAGTCATAAACCAGTAACAACCCTGTTGCTAGAAACTATTTGGAAGGACAAACAAATTCTGCCCAGCAGACCTAAGCTGATCTAAATGTTCAGCTCTGATCACATTCCTTCAGCTTAAACCAGTATTCTATTTTTTAGAAATACCAATGGAACTTCTTTAGACTTTTAAAAATATATTCATTTGGAGTATTCTGGGAGATGGTGGAGTAGGAAGCACCAGCAATCTAACTCCCCACCCAAACAATGTTATGTTTCTAGAGCAGCCTGAACATAGCTTGTGGAAGTCAGGTGGGCAAAAAGGACTTTATCCTTCAAACATTGAGGTGACTGTGTTCTAATAACTGATTGTTGCCTCTGATCACAGAGGTGCAGACAATGAGGTAGTTGGTTATTGTATCTTCCCCTGTGGTTGTAAATCCACCTTCTACTCCACCTGTAGTGAAAACCAGGACATTTAAAAGTATTTTACCTCTTAATTTTTCTCTTTTTACTTTTCAAGTACCAGACAGTCAGGACTGGAACATTCAAAAGAAACTGGGAAGAATTACAAAGTGTAGGCGTATGCCCAGAGAAAGGCACAGATTCATAAAAGACATAAGGAGACCTTAGGCTTATACTTCTGGGTGAACTTTGTCACAAAAGTAGTTTATAAGAAGCAAAAACTCAAAAAATTAAAGAAACACAATTCAAAAACATGCAAATCCTGGAGGAACAGAAAGAAAAAAATATTAAAGAAAAAAAATAAGGGACATGTGTGACATCATCCAGCAGACCAACACATGCATTGTAGGATTTACAGAAAGAGAATAGAGAGTGAAAGGGGAAGAACATCTCAGGTATTTGTCTTTCATCAAATTTAGGAAGTTTTCATCCAAGAATGTTTCAGGAGTATTCTGAAAATAATTTAAAAATGTGGCCCATAGATATTTTGAAAAAATGTTCAATATTATTAGCCATCAGTAAAGTACAAATCAAAACTACAGTGAGACATCATCGTACTCCAATTAAAATTGCTGTTATCTAAAAAGAAAAAACAAGTGCTAGTGAGGATGTGGAGGAAAAGGAACTCTCATACATTGCAGCTATGAATGTAAATTAGTATAGCCTTTATTGAGAACAGTATGGAAGTTCCTTTAAAGAACTTACACAGGTATACCATATGATCCAACAATCCCAGTACTTTGTACACATTCACAGAAAATAAAATCTACATACCAAAGAAATACCTGAATGATCATGTTAATCATGGCACTATTTGAAATAGTAAGTTAATAAATAAATGTAGGTGGAGATTCTAGTTTATGATACTTGTCTGTTGTTTTGGGGGCCTGTGCCAAGGCAGCACATCATGTTGGGAGATCATAGTAGAATTAAACTGCCCATCCCATCAACAGGAAGCAAAAGAGAACAAGGACAGAACCAGAATCTCATTATCCCCTTCAAAGGCTTGTCCTCAATGATCTAAAGACCTACTAGATCCCACTTCTTAAAGGTTCTACCAGTTCCCAACACTGCCACTGCCACCCTGGAGAAGTCTTTAACACATGCGCCTTTGGGGACCATTCAACATCAAACTATAGCACCAATGAAATTAGAATCCTTACTCTGATAAGTTATAGAAGAGGGAATATTAATATATTTTACTATCTCAGGATTAAAGTTCAAATAGCCAAGATTGTAACAAAGGTCAGAACCAGGAATGAGTGAGCCTCTACCATCATCTCAAAGTGGGGGAAAATTACGTTTGAGAATGAGGTCCATATAGTATATTTCAGGGCAATAAAATTTCTGAAACATTGGAAAACTTGAAGCGGAAGTATTGGATTAGAGAAATGCAGGTATTGTTTGTACTTTTTACACCATGTTAAAGATGTAACCTTGTTGTTGATGTTTAATTTGTCTCAAAAACTAGGAAATTTTAGCATTATAAACATCTCTTTAAAATAAAATAATATCTATATCAGTCAGTGACATATGTGGGAGGCCATCCTCCAACGTGATTTGAGTTACCTCCCTGGCTGGATGAGAGGCACAGCTGTGTCAGAACTTTTCCCTACCCTTCTCCAGGTCCGAGGGCTTGTCCTTGCAGACAAAATATGTTGTTTGAATGCGTGTCTGGCCACTGCCCCGAAGACCCAATCGTTGCCCCTGACCTTGGGATGCTGCCCCCCTTAACCTTCATTGAATGGGATTTTCCCTTGAATTTTTTGTTCCCCAATAAAAGTCCACTCCCTGCTGTGTTCTCTCTCTCTTGCTAGCCTCTTCTGTAAACCTCACCACTGCATTAGATGGCTGGAGGTGGGAGCTAGGAGAAGCCGTACTGGAGCTGGTATTAAAGGTAATTAGAGTCTTATCTCTTTAATTTAAAACTCCCTAGCAATTACTCATGAATCAAACCTTCTTTCATGAAGCCAGCTCTGGTCGCATGGCAGAAACATATATTCTGTGGTATACACATATATATATTCTCTCTATATATACACATATGTATGCACACATACATATATGTATATACAAGAGAATATTTTTCTGTTATAAACATGAATGAAATTTCATCACTTTTAACCAAATGGCTGAAACTGAAACATACTGTTAAGTAATACAAATCAGACACAGACAGAAAAGTACAATGTGCTCTTTCATATATAGAAGCGAAAATATGTTTGTTTGAATGCAGAATAGTGATCACTTGAGGTTGGGAAATGTAGGGACCAGATAAAAGGATGGTGGCTTTGATCGGTGCACGCTGTATGTATGTACTGAAATGTAACTCTGAATTGAATTAAGAGCAGGGTCTCAAAAAGATTTGCACACCCATGCTAACAGCAACATCCTTTACAGCTAAATGGAGAAATCCATGTGTCCATCAACAAATGAATAAACAAGATGTGGTATATAAATGTAATACATACAAAGGAATAATATACAGTCTCAGAAAGAAAGGAAATTCTGACATATTCTATATTACTAAAATAGGCTAGCCACAGAAAAAGATAAAAACTGTATGAGTCCACCTGTATGAGGTATTTAGAGTGGATAAACCACAGAGACAGAAGGTAGAATGGTGGTTGCCTGGGGAAGGAGGTGGGAGAATGGGGAAAATTGATTAATGAGTACAGAGTTTCAGAATTACAATATGAAAATTCCTTTTTCAATAAATGATGGGGATAGTTACACAACTTAAATAATGTAGCTAATACCATTGAAATATACACTTAAAATGGTTAAGATTATAGAATTTATGTTATGTGTATTTTCCTGCAACAGAAAATTAGAAAAATGTGTATTAATTTAATATTTATCTCTTATAATCTCTATCATTTTGCAGCATGTTTCTGAGAGTAGGAAGAACAATAGAGTTCATCAGCAATAATAGAAATTTAATAATGCTTTGCAGCTAAAAACTTATAACCACTTGAACAAAATTTAGGATTTTTATGTAGTATTGCTGGGATACAAATTATAGTTTCAATTTTTTTCTTGGAAGGACCACTCAGTAGATATATCAAAGAATTTCAAATATTCATATATATTTCCTTTTTCGAAGGAGGAAAAAGAGGCAAAACAGAACTTAAGGGGAGAGCAGATACATTTTTAGCTTGACACATTCACTATAAAAGAACATAGTTTTGATTTTGTATATGAAAATAAGAGAATTACTAGCCTAAAAAAACTTTAATAGAATATCCAATTAAAAGTAAACAAGTATCAGAAGTAATCATGTTAACATTGATGCTTTAACAGCTAGACTAACAATAGGTATACTAGGCAAAATAAAATTTGAGATCAAAGCATTCAACAAAATATTTAGGATACTATGATAGCACATATTTTAAAAATTTCAACAAAATCATAGTTAATGTATAAAACCTTCAAAAATGCAAGAATAAGTTTCTAAAACTAAAAAAGGGATATTTTAGTATAAGTTTTCAACGAGCAAATCCAGTAGAACCTGATTCCATCAGAACCTCATTTCTTCCAAGGAGAAAAACCCAAATAATCACTTGACTTGATTTACACGTACTAATGAAAATCCACACAGAGCACCAGCAGAGCACTCTCAGAACTGTTTTCAGGTGTAGTGCCTTCAGTGCAGTGATGCCCTGTGGGTATGGATCTAAGAGGTGATGTGAGGAGCAAGGAGTCAATGATAACTCAGATGCATCCTCCAGAGCATATGCTCCATTAACGATCTCACATCAGCCAAACTCTTTCTTTTTTCTCCCTCTTTGTTTCCATTGCAATCTTATCCCATATTTTCCAAATAAATTCCTTTAGGCAATTTTGACCATGTATAACTCTGTTTGTAATTACTGTTTAGTGCATTTTTGCATCTGCCACTATGGAGACAA